TATAGGATTAGGCATCTGCGTGTGTGAGGGGGCTTGTGCATCTCCTTAAAGGTGAGCAGATGACCACCTCACAGTGTTCAGCATCGATATCAAAGGTTGTAACAACACACCCACACCCGCGCCTGCGGAGCGGCACTGCCTCCGCTCACTAGCAACAGTTCACTGGGAACCTGTCCGTGTGGCCACAGGCAGCGTGCTGCTCGCCGCGCTCGGGGAAGGCTCTTGGGACAGTGACTCAGCCCTGCTTTCTGTAGGTTCGGGGGCACCACGATTCCCAATCACTCAATGTCTTCCCCAAACGTCACAATGTCTTTGGGAAAATAGGAAGGAAAGAGCCCTCTGGGACCTGGACTCTTCCTTTCTGACGACAGTTGACACTGGACTATGTTCTTTTTATTTTATTAAATTATTGGGTGACGCTGGTCAGCATGAACACATCGGTGTCAGGTGTGGGTTTCCATGCTCCGAGGTCTGTATATTGTACCGTGTGCCCACCCCCGCAGTCAGATCTCCTCCTTCACCTCCTACTGGGACCTTTCTCCCTGGACCGTGTTCCTGAGCAGAAAGTCAGGGCACAGCTGTGGCATGTAAGAGACCTTCTGGTGCCCAAGACATGATACAATATGGATGAGACATCACTTTCACTCGGGTGAGAAGAAAGGGACACAGTAGACAACAATGAGAGAAAGAACGAGCAGTGCCCACAGCTCAGGGGCCCTGGCGTTTCTAGTGGGAAAGGAGCAGAATGGAGGACAAGGAGACGTAAGCGACAGCAGAACGTGCACGTTACCGTATTAAACCCTGAAATCTCACACAATTAAATGAAGCAGCAGCAACACTGGGACAGCCCCCCAGCAGAGAGCACCCCGAAGTGGCACAGCCCCAGCAGTACCTTATGATCCCTCCGATGTTGGGGTACAGACAGGCCATGCTCACGCCAGCTCCCACAATGATCAGATTCAGGACCAGCACGTGGAAAATGCTAGGTGATGCGTTTCGGGGGAAAAATAAAAATAAAACAGGCACATTATCACCACTAATGCGAGAACACGCTTCACCATTAATGTGTCTAAAATCAGAACGTCTTTAACATGACAGTCACATCCCGCGGAGGCAGAGGCGGCGCTGGCGCCGGGCCCGCCCTCACGGTGCCGTGTCAGAGGTCCCTCTCCCGCCCACAGTCCCGCTCGGTCAAATCCTGACAACAGCTGCACCATCGCGAGAGCCGTGACAAACGGCAGTGCCCTCGACAGACGGGACCCAATGACAATCACTCAGAACCCTCATCGTTGGCACCCAGATGGCAAACACCGTCTGGTCCACGTGGGGAGCCGGCGGGACTGTGACTGCGCGGGACCCTGAAACCGCTGGGCGTCGTCAGGGAGGGCTGCACGGGCCATGGCGGTTCTGTAAGATTTGGGCTCTGGGGTCATTTTTTCTGTTTTCTATGTTTAACAAATAGTATATGTTACCATGTCTTTAAGGTGTTTATTTTACTTTTATAATTAGATACAGTAAACTGAGGACAAAGGAAAATGGGCAGGATTTTATTCTTCAGACTCAGCATTTACCATGAATAGAATGCCCGCTAAGTCCGTGGACGAGGCGCTAACAGGGGCTGGGAGTCCATTTGGACACAAATAAGAATAATGTGGATGGGACCTGATGCTCAAGAAACAGCTCCATTTCCCCAGAACGTTCATTCTCCAACGCCAAGCTGAGGTACCAGCGCAACTTCTGAGCCCAAGTTGTCAGAGGTTTCGTTAATCTCCGATAATGACCACAGACTTAAACATAAGAAAGGTATTCTTACACAGAGTGGTGAGTTTGACCCCGGTAACGATGGGCTCGGGATTATGCTCTGACTCTTCTTAGAACTCCCGCCTTCAAAATCTCTTTCGGGGAATACGTGTTTTGTTACTGTGGTGTTT